TGTTTCAAAGAACACAATGTGAACACCATTTAGAAATGCTATTTGTTTAGGTTTTTTCCTACCATTATTTGGCTTCATTTTTTTAATCTTATGGAATTAGGCTTTCAATGAAAAAAGATTTTTTACACTCATTAACCTAAATCTTACGTGTCTCTTAATGACTTTTATGATTTTGTTCTATAAGTTCCATTGGCCTCAGATGAGTAGTCATTAGATCTAATGAGTTTTGTTTGGATTCTAAATCTTTAATAAGTGCATCCTCAGCTGTATTTTAAACAGCTGCACTGATCATATACTTAATATTTATACTTGTTTTCCTTAAGGTCTAATTAATTTTTATATCAAACCAATCTTTTCTTTCCCAAATAGAAAATTTGAAGTCTTACCACATACATTCCACATTTGCTGAGTTAATATTGGAATTTACTTGTTGACTTTAGAATAATCTTCTCCTGGGCTGTTCTTAAAGATACAAATCTTCTTGTGTGACTGATTCTCCAGAGATCAATGTGACCTTAACAAAACAGATGTGCATGTACTTATGTCTGTGGAGTGAAGTTATTGAATTAATTGTAATCTAGCAAATTATTTAGTAATATGTCAGTGATGGCTATATATTGTATTGACATCACTGTGTGTATACAATAAAACCTTTTCATTTTATGTACCTTTACTTTTTTGAGTAAATTTTATATTCCACATGAAAAAAAAATAGAAGTTGCAGAATAATAGAGTGAGAAATTCTCCCTTTCTTGTCTCCTGACTATGCAGATCCTCTTCCCGGAGGCAAGAATTAATGCATTTTCTCGCATATTTTTCCAGAGACATATTATGAATATATGTATTCATTTTCTACTCAAACAGGAACACACAGTTGTCCATTCTTTATTTTTTCCTGCTAAAATTGTAAAATTAGGAAAGCTTTTGCTTTCAGTACATCTGAAGCTGCTTTATTCTTATTTCAAATTACTAGGATGATTATAACTCTATCCAGATACTTGTAATGGACTCTCTCTCTCTTTCTCTTCCTTCCTTCCTTTCTCCTCTTTCTTTCTTTCTTTCTTTCTTTCTTTCTTTCTTTCTTTCTTTCTTTCTTTCTTTCTTTCTTTCTTTCTTTCTTTCTTTTTTTCTTGGGCTTTCATAACAAAATGCCATGGACTGGGTGTCTTAAACAATAGGAAGTTATTTTCCACAGTTTCAGAAACTTAAAGCCCAAGAGCAAGGTGCCAGCTAATTTTATCCTAGTGAGGACTCTCCTCCTGGCTTGCAGACGGCTGCCTTCTAGTGGTGTCCTCACATGGTGGAGACAGAGCTCCTGTGTTTCCTCCTCTTACTATAAGGGCACCTGCCCTGCTGGATTAGAGTTTTACCCTTATGACCTCATTTAACTCTATCACCTTTTCACAAGCCCTACATCTAAATATAGTCACACTGGGGCCGTGAGAGCTTCAACATATGAGTTTTGGAGGGACACAATCATTGAGTGCATAATACTTCCTATGTTTAAGTAGGTGAAGGAAGAAAATAAAAAACGACATGTATAATCAAAAGAATAGCACCTTCCCCAGATTCTGAGTAATTAAGTTTGAATCCATCATGTTTAGAAAACTGCTGTATTTGATGAAAATGCTTAATCTAGTTAGAGCAAGAGAAATTAAAGATATAAGTTTGTTTTACTGAACTTAATCTTACATGGCTTTGGAACATTGTTGGAAATAAAGACATATGAATAAATAGAGTTTGAATCACCCAGCTAAACACTGCATGCCAAAGGGAACTAGGAAATGTTGCAGTCTTTATGCCTCTTTAGTGACAGGCATGGACAATATGTAAGAAGATCCTACTGAAGATTAATTAAATATTTATGCTCTTAAATTTATAATGAGGCTATGTTGTTAGAAAAGCCAAGTTAAATGTGTAGGAGTTGAGTCCAATATCTTAATTCCCAATGCCTGTAATAAAATATCCATAAAGGCTAAATTATACATGTGCCACGATCACACATATCAGATCTTCAGGGGCTCAAATTTCTGTCTTCAACTCATTGAGAAAAATTGCCCATCATCTTATTAAGATCTCCAAGAATAGCAGGTATGAATTCCCTGGAGTAAAATGGAAATTTTTAATTTTGATGGACCATATATGGACCCCATTTTTCAAATGCCTGTTAATATATTTTGCCAATTTTGTCTGTAGAGTTCTGTGTATAAAACTTAAAACTAGTAAGAGATACATAGATAAATATTTTAAATTTCTTCATTTCCCACATATGACTAAACAAATAAAAGTAATTATAATACATCTTCTTCCTTCACCATTGGTCCTATTTGAGTAAAAAGTATCTTCTACCAATTTAAGATGTCATTTTAATTTTTTTAGCTCTGCCAAGAATTTTTAATTTAATTATTTCAAGTACAATTGACTTAGAATATCATATTAGTCTCAGATATACAATATAGTGATTCAATATTTTTATACTTTTACACGTCATACAAAGATCTTACAATATCATTGACCCTGTTCCCTGTGCTGTGTATTACATCCCTGTGATTTATTTATCTATTTTATAACTGATAGCTCATACCTCTCAGTCTCCTTCACCTGTTTTTCCCACCACACCCTCTCTGGCAATCACCCATTTGTTCTCAGTATATGTGGGTCTGTTTTTGTTTTGTTATATTTATTTGTTTGTTTGTTTTAGATTCCACATATACATGAAAACATTAGTATTTCTCTTTCTCTGTTCTAACTTATTTCACTTGGCATAATTCTTGGTCCATCCACGTTGTCACAAATGGCAAGATCTCATTATTTTTTATAGCTGAGTAGCATTCCATTGTACAGTTGATCCTTGAACAATGTGGATTTGAACTGCATGAGTCCACTTATATGTGGATTTTTTTCAGTAAATACTACAGTACTATACATGCATGGTTGGGTTAATCTTTGGATGTAGAACTGTGAATATGGTGGAACCACGGATAAGGAGGGCAGGCTATTAGTTATACACAGATTTTTGATTGTGCAGGGGGTTGACACCCATAACCCCTGCAGTGTCCAGTGGTTCCTGATGATTAGTGATGTTGAACATTTGATCATGTACCTTTTAGCCATCTTTTCTTGGTCTTCCATGAAAAAAATGCCTGTTCAGTATCTCGGTCCATGTGTTAGTTGCCATGATTTTTATCTATTGACACAGCAATATTGTTTTATTATTCTTTTTGGTTATTGTGTTTTTTGTTTAAGAACTATTTGTCTGTTTATAACCAATAAAAAATCTTTAAAGATTTTTAGTATATTATATTCTACATGATGTATTTAATTTACCACAAATTGATTTTTGAATGTAAAAGACTTCTATATCACTTTTTATCTCTTTGTGGATACACAGTTGTCCCAGCAGGATTTGTAGAATAGTCTATAATTTTCTTACTGATCCATGCCCTCATCTATGTTCAATAATAGACTTCTATACTCTGTTCCATCAGTTATTTAAAAAGAAACCCTGGAGTAACATTATATTAATTTACATAGTTATTTTATATTTTGATATTTGCTAGGGTAAATTTCCCTTATTCATCTTAGGTAATGCTTTTTAAAAAATCATTAATTTTTTCTAATCCTGGGACTTGTCTTCCATATACATTCATTACATGCTTTTCAAATTCTACAAAATGCCTGTTGAAAGTTTCATTGTATTTTCTTACAATCTTACATATCAATTTATGAATAATCTTTAATATATTGAAGCTTCTCATCTATTAGTATGCATTTGTTTCCATTGATTCAGATCTTTTTTGCTGTTCATCATTTTTTTAAATTTTTTAAAAGTCTTAAACATAATTGTATTTGTACATTTTTCTCAAGAGTCTTTGAAAATTTTCACTGTCCAATTATTTTTGATATTTACAAAAGCAATTGATCTTAGCATATTGAATTGTTACCAAAAATGCTAGCTAAATTATTTAACTATAATACTATACATGTTCTCTCTTGGTATTTTACATTCAGAATGATATCATCTGCTTACTTTCTTCATATACATATATACTTTTTTTTTAATGAAGTTTAGTCAGTCTACAATGTTGTGTGAATTGCTGCTGTACAGCACAATGCTTCAGTCGTATAGGAACATACATATATTCATCTTCATATTATCTTTCACTATAAATTACTACAGTATATTTAATATAGTTCCCTGTCCTGCACAGTATAAACTTGTTAATCTATTTTACATATATTAGTTAGTATTTGTAAATCTCTAACTCCCAATTTATCCCTTCCCACCTCTTTCCCTCCCAGTAACCAGTAGCTATAGGTTTGTTTTCTATGTCTGTGAGTCTGTTTCTGTTTTGTAAATAAGCTTGTTTGTCTTTTTTTTTTTTCAGATTCCACATATAAGGGATATCATATGGTATTTTTCTTTCTCTTCCTGGCTTACATCACTTAGAATAACATTCTCCAGTTTCATCCATGTTGCTGCAAATGGCATTATTTATTATTTTTTATAGCTGAGTAGTATTCCATTGTGTAAATATATTGCAGCTCCTTTATCCAGTCATCTATTGTTGGACATTTCAGTTGTTTCCATGTCTTGGCTATTATAAATAATGCTGCTATGAACATTAGGGTGCATGTGTCTTTTTGAATTAAGGTTCCCTCTGGATGTATGCCCAGGAGTGGGATTTCTGGATCATATGGTAAATCCATTTTTGTTTTTTTTGAAGAATCTGCAAAAAAATGGCTGCACCAAACTGCATTCCCACCAGCAGTGTAGAAGGGTTCCCTTTTCTCCATATCCTCTCCAGCATTTATCATTTGTGGACTTTTGAATGATGGCCATTCTGACTGGAGTGAGGGAATACCCCATTGTAATTTTGATTTACAGTCCTCTGATAATTAACAATATTGAACATTTTTCATATGCCTGTTGGCCATTCTTATGTTTTCATTGTCACTTCATTGCTTGTTTAGGTCTTCTGATCATTTTTGGACTGCGTTGTTTGGTTTTTTTTTTCTTTTAAGTTGTATGAGCTGTTTATATATCTTGGAAATTAAGCCTTATCAGTCATATCTTTTGC